TTTATTTTACATATTGACAATATATAGCGCAGTGGAGTGTTATTTTAAAGAAAATATTCTTTATTTACAACAAGTTTAACTTTAAAAAGCACGTGTTGACATTGTTTGAATCCAGCATGGGGCCTAAGAGATCAAGAAAAGCGATTTTAATCCAAACCAAGCAAGAAATCATAAAAAAACATGAACAAGGCATTAGAACAAATGCACTATGCAAAGAATATGGCATGTTGACATCAACTGTGTCGACAATTCTTGCACAGAAAGACAAATTCAAGGAAGTGAAAGTGAGAGACAAATCTACAAGAGAGTTTAAAAGTAGATCCCCAATTGCAGAAACTGAGAGGTTACTTATCATCTGGATTAGGGAAAAACAGATGAAAGGTGATTCAGTTTCTATTGAATTCATTTGTGAAAGAGCCAGGGAAATTTACGAACATTTAAAGACAGATCAACCTGGTTCTTCAGGCACAGAATTTGAAGATTTTCGGGCCAGCAAAGGCTGGTTCGAAAAATTTAAGAAAAGAAGTAACATTTTCAGTGTTGTTAGGCATGGTGAAGCTGCTAGTGCTGATAAAGAAGGGGCAGCAAAGTTTTTAGATGAATTTAAAGATTTGATGGAAGAAGAAAATTATCTTCCACAGCAAGTGTTCAATGTGGACGAAACTGGGCTGTTCTGGAAAAAGATGCCCAAAAGAACATTCACCACCAGAGATGAAGCCTCTTTACCTGGGCATAAACCCATGAAAGACCGTCTCACTCTATTGCTTGGTGCCAATGCTTCAGGGGATTTCCGACTGAAGCCTATGCTTGTCTACCACTCTGAAAACCCCAGGGTGTTCAAGCAACAGAAAGTGGTAAGAACAAAGCTTGGAGTTTATTGGAAGTCCAACCGTAAGGCATGGGTGACAAGACAGCTCTTTAATGAATGGGCTGTTGAGGTGTTTTGCCCTTCTGTCAAGAGCTACCTAACCACCAATAAACTCCCTTTAAAGGCTCTTCTCCTCATGGATAATGCTCCTGGTCATGACCCTGACCTTGCCAGAAATTTGGAGTATGAATTTGACTTTGTGAAAGTGTTGTTTTTGCCTCCAAACACTACATCAATTATACAGCCAATGGACCAGAATGTCATCAGCAACTTCAAGAGGTTGTACATGAAGAAAATGTTTAGGAGGTGTCATCAGGCAACTTCCAATGATCCTGAACTAACACTGAAACATTTCTGGAAGACACAATTCAACATCCTGGAGGCTGTAAAATTGATTGTGTCATCATGGCAAGAGGTCTCCACTAGATCCCTCAATTCTTCATGGAAAGCACTGTGGCCATCAGTAGTCCATGATTTTGAGGGATTTGAGGAAGAAACAGAGTTTGACCAGGAGATTGTGTCCATTGGTCAGTCATTGGGCCTTGAAGTGGAGGAGGAGGATGTGGAAGAGCTTGTGATGTCTCATGAGGAGGAACTTAGTCCTGATGACTTGAAGCAACTGGATGAGATGTTACAGGTAGAGGCTGACAGTGGTGAGGAGGAAATTGAAAGTGATGATCATATGTCAGCTAAAAAGTTGAAAGATGTGATTTACCACTGGGAGAAGTTCAGGGAACTGGCTTCAAAGCACCCAGAAGTGGAAAAAACTGAACTAACTTTGTGTCATGTTGAGGACTCAGTGGTCTCCTTCTTTAAGCATAAGTTAATGGTGAGGAGGACAGATGCCCCACAAACCACAATTGACACTTTCTTCAGTAAAAGGCAGAGGGAACAAGATGCTATCCCTCCGCCTTCCACTTCAAGATGGAGAGAGGATGTTCATGGTGGAGAATCTGTCAGTCCAGAGGTTCCTGACATTTTCATGGAAGGTGACTCGCCTTCCAAGAAGCAGTAAAATGCTTCTCCTCCACCTCCACTTCCTTTTCTTCTCCTTTCTCCTCCTCCACCTCCCACTTCAAATTCACATCATTATCAAGGAGCCTTCTACATACACACCTCAAAGTAAGTGAACTTTTCTACCGTTTTTGTTGAATTTAGGCAATTTTCGGTGAGCTGGAACCAATTACCCAAAAACCCATTGAAACAATGGTTTCGGTTAACGAGATTTTCGGTTAACGAGCAACCTGCTGGAACGGATTGTGCTCGTTAACCAAGGGACCATTGTATGTAAATTGTAAAAATTTAAATAAAAGAGAAAACTAAATACGTAGCGTTTAAAGTGTACTGTACAGTGTTGTCGCTTGGCGCGGGGTTATGCAGTGTTTACGGTTCACATTCGACATCACATGTTCAATTGATTTATGTGTTTTGTTTGTGAACAATTGCAGAAATAATTTATGTAATATTTATGTATACAGTATACCTGTACAGTATTGTATATGTAAATTGTAAAATTTTAATTAAGAGAGAAAAACAAAATACGTAGCGTTTTAGACCTGCGCGCTCTATTTACACCACACATTCAGTCTGAAACACGTGAAGTTTTTAAGCATCCTCAGTGATTTATGATTTACTGTTTCTCCAATTTTGTGACTATGGAAAAGAAGAATATCTCCGGGAAGTGTTCTGGTGATCGCATTTCCGTGGTGATCGTAAAAGAAAGGCTATAACACTTGAAGAAAAGCTTGATGTTGTCAAGCGTTTTGAAAATAAGGAAAGAACATGTGATATTGTGCGTGCAACGGGAATAAAGGAGTTTACTTTACGCACCGTTAGAGACAATGCAGCAAAGATTAAAGCAAGCTGTATTGCTGGAAAAACCTTGAGTGCTAGCAAAAGTGTGAGATCACTGCCAAAGGAACTTGAGGAGATGGAATGGCTTCCAAGTGTTTGGATAGAAGATCAAACGAAAAAGCGATCTGGGACCAGCTTCCTCAACATTAAAGAGAAAGCCTTGTCAATATATGAGGACCTAAAGAAAAAAGCTGAAAATCCTGATGATGTGATTGCCTTGAGTGCTAGTAGTGGATGGTCTTATGGTTTTAAGAACCGCTATGCATTTCATAATGTAAAGTTATGTGGTGAAGCAGCAAGTGCCGACGAAGCAAGTGCCCGGGCATTTCCTCCCACTGTAAAGAAATTGATTCAGGAAGAAGGCTACACCTTAGACCAAATTTTTAATTTGGATGAAACAGGTTTATACTGGAAGTGCATGCCAACAAGAACTTACATTTCCAAGAATGAAGCACAGGCTCCAGGCTTTAAGGCTGTGAAGGACCGTGTGACAGTGTTGTTGGGTGCAAATGCTAGTGGAGACTTAAAGCTTAAGCCTGTGTTGGTGTATCACTCTGTCAACTCGTGAGCTTTAAAGGGTTACATAAAGTCTACTCTAGGTATTCACTTTAGGTCAAGCAAAAAAGGTTGGATGACGGGACAAATTTTTTCTGACCTTCTTATGGATGTTTTTGAAAATGTTTTTAAAATATATTGCAAGAAGAGAATATAGATTTTAAGATTCTCCTCAATTTAGATAATGCGCCAAGCCACCCTCCCACCATTGCTGAGCTTTCTGACAATAGCAAAGTGCTCTTTCTACCTCCAAATACAACATCTCTCCTTCAACCAATGGACCAAGGAGTAATAGCAGCCTTCAAAGCCTATTATTTGAGGCGTACATTTAAGAAAATTATTGCAGCTACAGGTACTGAGGAAGGAAATGATAAGGCCAGTGTTCTTCAGTTTTGGAATAGTTTCAACATCAAGCATGCACTTGACATCATTGTGGAGGCCTGGGGTGAAGTAAGTAAGGACTGCTTGAGTGGAGTTTGGCAGAAACTTCTCCCAGATTTAATTCATGGTTTTACAGGCTTTGATGCATCAGAGGAGCTCCCAAAAATTAAAGAAAATTTTGTTTCTCTTGCAAAGCAAGTTGACTTTGCTGAAGTGGAAGGCGCTGATGTTGAGGAACTGCTCGAGTCCCACTGTGAAGACCTCTCTACAGAAGATCTACAACAACTTGTTGCTGCTGGGGAAATAGAAGATGCTGAAGATGAAGAAGTCCAGGATGCAAAACCACAAGAGCTTCCCACTTCTGTTTTGTCTTCTATCCTGAGAGAAGTTGATAAGCAGTTGCAGCTCTTGGAAGACAATGACTACAATGCAGAAAGGAGCAGGATTGCAGTTCGTGGTGTTAAATCTTTTTTGGCACCTTATGAACAGCTTCTTTGTGAAAGAAGAAAGACGGCAAAGCAGCAAACATTAGACGTCTTTTTTAAGTCAACCCCCAAGAAGCAGACTGAAGACACTGAACCACAGCCATCCACTTCTGGAATTAGACGTTTTTTCTTCCCTCCCATGCAACCAAAACTTCACCTGATGATGATACTGATGATGACAACTGTCAAATCCTGTCTGCATAACTCCTCAACATCACCCTTCTCCCCCATCAAGTTATATTCATATTTTTTCAAGGTAAAGTGTAACATTTACTGTATGATTTCATTATTAGATATGAATGTAACATTTATTTAGACTGTGCTATCCTTTGTGTTAGGCTAACTACGAAATTTTTTTCGATTTCGAGTAATCTGCACCTCACCCTATTTTCTCCATAAGCCCTGTTATTTCTATTACGCGAATTTCTATAACACGATGTTTTACAAGAACACAACTATCGCGTTATAGCAGAACTGGCTGTATACCGGTAATGGAATTAACAAAACATTAAATACAAACAAAATACAGGACTGTACAGTATATTGTACAATAATAATAAAAAAACAATAAAATATTTTAACTCTTAATTTGAGATGTGTAATTCTACATTCAAATTATTCTCTATCTTGCAAGGATTCCAGCAATGCAAGTTATATTCTGCTGAGACACAACTGATGCCTCACACCTGCGTGGGTCAAGCTCGGCGTCACTCTGGGCATGTTCTGCACACGAGTGATGCTCCACGAAAAGGCTTTTGGATTTTGGAATTGCGGATAAGGGATTGTGGACCTGTAATAACTTATAAAAAGAATTTTTTCAGCTTTTCATTGTTTTCTTCATATATTTCTTTTTACAGGTATGTCAAGTGCTTAGATATGGCAGCCAAGGCAATTGAAGCAGTAAAGTCAGGTGAACTAGAAATAATTCCAAAAATGCATGAAAAGACTTGGTACCACTGGATGGAGGAAATGAGAGATTGGTGCATCTCTCGGCAGCTTTGGTGGGGACACCAGATTCCTGCATACTTTGTGAAGATTGATGACCCATCTTTCCCTGCTAGACAGGCAAGTTTTGTGCTGTTTGATGAATTAACATTCAGTATGTTAAGTTAGTGCTGTAACCTTGGGTTTTTTCGTTATTTTTCAATACAGGTGTACTCCGAAAACCGATGTCCCACTAACTGCTGCTTCGCATAACCAATGATAACATATAGGGAAAATACCCTGCAAGTGTCTTTGATACCTCGGAGATCCAACGATAGGGAGAGGAGCAGCAGAGCTGTTTCGAATTCGGCAAGCGGTGGTGTGATGCAAGTTCTTGCCACAAGAAGGCTATGCTCACTGCCTTGACTCATTCCCGCTATCTTTGCTCTTGTTTACACTTACTACACTAAAACCCCGATTAACCGACTTTCGGATTAACCGCCGATCCTTGACCCTAATTTTTTTTTTTTTTTTTATACACGGGGATTAGCCCACCCGGGCACAGGTCACTGACCCACTTCGGGGCCTGGGGGCGATAATTTAATAATAGTAATAATAATAATAAAGAACCATAAAGAAATGCAAAAATGAAAAAAAAATCAAGAGTGAGAAACAATATACCTGCATGTATGTTGTGGTGTCAATAGTAAGAGAAATAATTGAGACCCTGCAATTTTGTGTGTAAATGAGGCAGAAAGTCAGATCAGCAACCTGGGACTTGGTCACAATTTTCGTGATGCCATATGTGTATGTATATTATGTATGCTGTATGTATATTATGTATGTGCTCCATTTATATACACTATTTATTCAGCCTAGCTAGCAGCGTGTGGCAATGTATTTACCATGTCCCACATGCTTAATTAATGTGCCTGGCGACATATGGAAGCTGCTAATGTATCACTTACCACATGTCGCCCGAGAGACAGAGTAAGGAGCGCCACCTTCCTTGTGTACCTTCGTTTATCCAGTAAATAGAACCTACGAAAACTCTACAGGTGTTTGTGTTCGCTCCTGTAGATAGAACTTGATACCCAGAACACATACATGGTGCAGTGAACCGATTTTACTGGACCATTATACAAGTGAAGTGTAAAGTTTGTGGCAAGACCGGCTTATGGACCCCTACTCTGCGTCGACCACCGCTAATGGCCGTCTCCTCCAAGAATTTATAGCAACTTTGAGCAGTGTCAGTGACAGTGATTTTCTGTGAAGTGTATAGTGCATTGTGTGTTTAATGCCATAACTGTGTGACCTTGTTTTAAAGGATTCCCAAGGTAAAAGGCATGTTCTGGGCATTTGTAAGGAGTAAAGTTTTTCACATCCTCCTCTCGCCATGTCCACAAGGTAACTGACGCGAGTCGCCCCCTCCACCCTCTCACAGCGAGACACTGCCTGAGACACGCACACACACACACACACACACGTACAAACACACTGACTGCGGCCATTCCTTTATATATATTTTATATATATATAATCTACATATCTGTGCATTTAATTAATTTTTGTCTCGGATCTTGTTGATACGACGGGCTGACCGGTCAACACTGATTTAAGACACAGTACACAGATTAAGTTATTATGTCTCGTGCCTTACGCAGTCGTGGAGCCAACGCCTGGATGATTCAGTCGGATGACAGCTCAGCAGAGATGGATGACCAAGTTGAACAGGACGCTCCAGCTCCCACCACATCGCGCAGCCCTTCACCTCGATATCCAGCGTTGTCGTCAGGGATAATTGCTTTAATGAAGTTCATGAGGGATGAAAGGCGCGAGGACGAAGCTAACAGACTTGTGGAGAATGAAGAAAGAAGACAAGCAGAGGCAGAGAGAGACCACCAACAGAGATTGGAAGACAGTGCACGGTTTGAAGCTTTGATATCTCGCCTCACTGTTAACCAAGCCCCTGGCTCTAACACTGCCTCGGTATCGACTGGTTCGGATACCTCATCAACGCCTTCTTCACGCCCCCTAGCCCCACCTAAAGCGGCTGCTCAAACACCGCCCATCTTGAAGCCTGGTGTGAATTTCCAGACTTTTCGTGAATGGCGGCGACGGTGGACTGATTATGCCACAATGGTGGATCTCCAGAGTTTGTCACAACCTAAACAACTTATTCAGCTGCGTATGTGCCTGTCCTTGGAAACTCAGCGTGTCTTGGAACATACGTTGCAGGTACCTCCGACCTCTTCGTTGTCTGTAGAGGAGGTACTGGATATTCTACAACGGCACATCAAAGGGCAGCGGAACGAAGCACTACGCAGGAGGGAATTGTTTAGCTGCAGACAGATGGAGGGCGAGACTTTTGATGCCTTTTATGTACGACTCAAGAGAGCCTCGGAAGAGGTAGATATATGCCCAGGTAGCCACCAGCAGTGCGAGGAGACCCAGTTGAAGCGGGTGATCCTGATGGGAGTTAAGGACGAGGAACTTGTCCAACGCCTCATCTCCCTCGACTCTTCCTCTTCTCTTAAGGATGTGTTGACGATATGTCGCTCCTATGAGGCTGCCAGGTGTGCCACCTCTGCCATCCGAGCTCCCCCTACAGCTGTTCGCGCTGTGTCCCGGTACAAGAAGGACAAGAAGTCTACTCCAACGCCTTCGCCCACCACGCCCACGCCCGGTTCATTTTGTAACAAGTGTGGTAAGCAGCACGGAACACAGGTGTGTCCAGCTGCTGAATCTACCTGCAACAGTTGTGACCGTAAGGGCCACTGGTCACTCACAGTACGGTTCAGTACGGTGCCCAGCTAAACGCGTCCAGTGCAATGTGTGCTGTCGTCTGGGCCACTACGACAAGTGTTGCCCTACCAACAAACCCAAGGGACAGCGTCGGTGGAAGCAACAGCGCCCTTCCACCCGTGAGGGCCACCCACAGTCTTCCAATCAGAAGCATGACGACCCTGGACAACGCTTGAGCCATATTAGGAATGTGTACTCCCCCTCGCGTCCCAGAACCAAAGTTCCCCAGCACATCAGCGTCATCGTGACCTACGGTAGTGTGTCATCGCGTCTTCAGATGTTGCCTGACACCGGCGCTGATGCTGCAGTCATCGGTCCCCAGCATTTGCAATGCTTGGGGCTCTCTCCAAGTGATCTAGGACCGCCACCCAAGGATCTCCGCTTCACAGCAGATGGTTCACAGATGGCCCCAGCCCTAGGTTCACTCCAAGTACAAGTCACCTTTGGCAACAGGTCGTGTCAAGCCTGGATTGATGTGCATAACGGTGTCCCGACTCCTTTGTTGTCCTACAGACATTGTCAAGAGTTGGCCATCATCTCCCAGGGTTTCCCCAAACCTATTCTCGAGGTCAAACACGCCAACAGAGTGCACGAAGGGAGCAGCAACTACCCTGCTGCTGCCCAACCCTACCTCTTGCCAGTGACACCTCTCCTTCGGATGCTTGGAAGTACTTCCTGAAGGAATTCAGCGACGTTCTGGTGACCCAGTCCGCTCTGGAATCCAAGCCTCTCAAGAAGATGGTAGGCCCCCCGATGAGGATCCACCTGAGGGACGACGCGAAGCCCTTTGCTATCTACACCCCTCGACTGGTCCCCCTGGCCTTCTGCGAGGCGGTCAAAAACGAGCTGGACTCCATGGTCGCCCAAGAAATTATTGCACCAGCCGGTGATGACCCGTCTCCATGGTGTCACCCTATGGTTGTCGTCGCAAAACCCAAAGGTCGTGTTCGGATCACCACTGACCTCTCCAAGCTCAACAGCCAGGTGTCTCGTCCTGCGCACCCTTCTCCCACGCCCTTTGCAGCTATACGCAGTGTGAACCCGAAGGCGTGCTTCTTCACGACGATGGACGCCCTGTGTGGATACTGGCAGATAGAGCTTGCCGAAGAAGACCGACCACTTACAACTTTCATCACCCCGCATGGACGTTACAGTTATTGCCGTGGCCCCATGGGATTTGCCGCTACAGGAGACGCTTTCTGTCTTCGAGGTGATATGGCCCTACAAGGTCTGGCAAACTGCGGGAAAGTGGTCGACGACATACTCGTGTACGATGAGGAGTACATGGATCACCTCTACCGTATCTAAGAGGTACTCAACAGGTGCCGGAAGCACGGCATCACCCTAAATGCCGACAAGTTTGCTCTGGCCAGCTCTTCAGTGGACCTTTGTGGGTACACCCTCTCAGGGAATGGTATTGCAGCTGACCCGGAGAAGGTCCGCGCCATCACGGATTTTCCCACCCCTGCTAACCTCACCGACTTGAGGTCCTTCATCGGTCTCGTCAACCAGTTAGCAGAGTTTTCGCCGGACATCTCCGCAGCTGCCCATCCACTTCGCCCTCTGATGAGCCCCAAGAGGACATTCCTGTGGACCCCCGACCACGACAAGGCCTTCCACCAAGTGAAACAGGCCCTGTCTAGTCCACCTGTCCTCGCCACGTTTGACCCAGCCTTGCCGACGGTACTGCAGACAGATGCCTCACGCTTGTACGGCGTGGGATACGCCCTATTGCAGGATCATGGTGGAGGGCAGTTCCGGCTCGTCTTGTGTGGCTCGCGTTTCCTCTCTGTCATCGGCCCATTACCTGCAGTCCAATGGCCACGCTGAGGTGCTGTCAAATCCTTGAAGCACCTCATCCTTAAGGTGGCCCCTTCTGGGAATATTGACTGCGAGGCCTTCGACCGGGGTCTTCTTGAACTCCGCAACACACCTAACTGCACCGGACGCTCCCCTTCCCAGGTCTTGTATGGACGCCCCCTTCGTTCTTGTGTCCCTGCTCACCCTCAATCCTTCTCCAAGGAGTGGCAGGCCAAGACAGAGGATTGTGATCGCCGAGCCGCTGAACATGTTCAAGACATCGTCGCCCGCTACAACGACTACGCCCGTTCTCTCCTCAGGTTGAGTGTCGGCACCCAAGTCCATGTTCAGGACCCGACCTCCCTACGTTGGGACAAAGTAGGCGTAGTCATGGGTCTCGGTAGGTCACGGGACTAACAGGTGCGGTTACCCAGTGGTCGTGTGTGATGGAGGAACCGCCGTTTTTTCCGCCCCGTAACAATGCCTTCTGCTGACCCCGCCACCAGTGTTGAGTCCCATACCCTTCCCAGTGATCAAGTCCCTCGACGCTCAGAACGGATCCAAAAGAAAAGGTCCGCTCAAGA